CTGTAAAAGACTAAGGGAAAGAACCCATACTAAACGTGGGGTGGGGGTGGGATTCTTTGCTGGTTACCAGGATGTGGGGAGTGGGGTGAGGGGAGGGAGGGGAAAGGTGGAGCAAAGGATAGGGAATAGACACAGGATAGTTTGGGTGCTGGGGAGGGGGGCAATATACAAGAAGAGGGAGGGGAATGAAGCCCAAGGTGGATGGGAAAATATTTAGGCAGGTTTGCATGGGCTAAGTGGGACAGAGGTAAATAATGATATATGCACAAACTTGGAAGAACAGGGTTCTGGGATACAGGGATTGAGACATGACTGGAATGGATAAAAGGGTGGAAATAATGTTAAGATGCTTGGCTGTCTTTTGAATCATGTTTTCCCTTGCATGCCATTATATAATAGACACTTGAAGTGGAGAGAAAGGAATAACCAGAAATATCACCATAGGAAGCTTTAAATCAGTCTTCTGCCTATAACTGATTGGAATATCTAAAATGGGGCTACAACGTGCCTAGTGAAGGAAGCTTCCTGTGGAGCCTCTGCATTGTATCAGACCATAGGTGGAATCCTGAACTCCATCCAGAATCTTCTGAGGTGGGAAATTTCCACTGGAAAGGACAAGCTGACCAGCCTGGAGCGGCTAGAATAGAAGATATTTCTTGAAAGAAAGACCGACCCTACCCAGAGAAATAGTGACACCAGAGACGGAGTTAGAGATGATGATGTGGAGAGATGTAACGGCTGGGGAGTCTAGACCCAGAGAGGGAGAGGGGCTGTGTGCTGATAACTGGGGTGGCAGGCTGCGGGGTATATCCTTTGGTTGGTTGATGATGCATGGAGGGGACTGTAACCATGGCAATGATATGATATACATACAATAGGATGAATGTAAAGCTAATGTTCTCCCATGTAAACTATCACGTAATTCACAATAAAACTTTAAAAAGAATAAAGAGCTAAAATGAATAGTGAGAAGTACTGTTAACTGATGGTACGTGGAGGGGATTATGAAATAAAGTATATAATTTGTTGAATGTAAAACTGACGATCTGCCCTGTAAACTTTTACTCAATTCACAATAAAAACTTAAAAACAACACCAGTGTTGTGACCTCATCGCCAGGAGTTTTCCGCTAACCCATAAAACCAGGAAGCGCCTCCTCGTGGAAGGAACTTCAGGGACAAGTGATTCTCCAGCGTTGTATCAGAGCAGCTGCGGAAGTCAGGAAGAATTCAGATCGCGGGTCAGACCTGCTGATCAAGTACCATCAGGGTACCTGGGAACCCTGACACAAACCCCAGGACGCAGGGCAGCAGGGCTACGGGCCCCATCTTCACAATATCCACAGCAGGCGTGAAGGAACATACTTTATTAATCTACCTTTCACACACTAGGTGCTAAAAGCCAGCTGAATTATAATAACTTATTTACACGAGTGCTGCCTGCAGGCCGGATGGGGAGGGATTTGGGGCTGGTTCTTGCCAAGCCTCCAACAAGCCCCGCCTCTAGAGAACTGAGCTGGAGTAGGAGCTTCAGGCACACAGAGGAAATGTCCACACACACGTGAGCAGCCCCTGCTGGAAGGACCACCAGGCGGGAGGGTCTGCCTCAGTACTTCTTCAGACCATACGTCAAGCTGCCAGGGACCCTGCTGGCCTGCAGGGGCGGCGAGTTCCAGACAGCAGAGCTGGTGCGTTTGTGATAGCGTGGCTTGCTCTTCTTGAAGATGTCCTCCAAGTCCAGTGGGAGAATGGTCCCAAAGAGTTCGAGAAGGTTCAAGGGGTGGTAGTACTGGTGGATGATGGCCTGGCTGAGCTGGGTACCTGCAGGAGGACATGGGGGACAGGTCACTCCTTGTGGCTCTGTCCGCTGCCTCTCCACCACCGAACCCCAACAACGCTCTGATTTCACATCTCCATTGCCCTCATGGGCTCCCGTGGCCAGGCCCTGGACCCCACAACTGCCTGGGATGGAGGTGCCTTTTCTCCCCAACCAGGGAAGTGCACAACCCTGCCAACAAGTTGATGAGGCCCCTGGGCATCCAGAGGAGGGTCAGGCACCTGGTGCTCAGTCTGTACCAGGTACTGTGTCCAAGTTACAGGACTCCTGTGAGAGACAAACTTCACCGGGTCACCTCACAGGTACAGCCTTGGCCCGTTTCAATCGCCCATTATAGTGGAAAACGTTTGCATTTTCTTCCTCTGACAGGTCCCGGCTTTCCTGGGTTTTACTGCATGAACTCATTCTACCTCACTACATCCACTCAAGGTGTGCCTCAGTACACCTGTTCTTGCTGCCTCATCTAACAGGTAAGGTGAGCTATCTACAGTCAATTCTGATATTCCGGACCGCCTCCCTGATCACTAGACACCAGGACTTGAAGAGACAGAGCCACACGACTGATCAAGGGAACAGGCCACCTGCAGAGCGCCCACAACTACAGGACTCCTGCCCTTCCCTCCAGGAGTGAGATGGCGTCCTGCCCTGGCCCTCAGTGCCCATGGCGTGCACTGGCTGTCTGCTTCACTCCCAGCAGGTCCTGCTTCCAGGCCAGAGGCAGCAGTCTTGGTCACCAGTCCTGTTTCAAGGCTGGGGTCTGTCAAATCCGGGGTGGGGGGGTGGGAGGGGTGGGCGGTCATGGTCGCCCTTCTCCCTAGCTGACTGGAACCCCAGCTCCAGCTCTCAGCCTAATCTGTTACCACTCTTAGCAGCTCTCCGTGCTCCATTGTCCTCCTGGGCAGGATTCCCCAGAGGGGCCTAGTCTAAGCTAGAACACCCATGAGACGCCTGCCCCAGGGCCAACTGCAATGCATATGTTTGAGATCCAAGGAGCCAATCTGGTTCTCAGATGAGCCCACTGGTCCCAGGGGCCCACCCTTCCCTGGGCACATGCCCAACCCCATGGAGGTTCAATGTCAGGCCCATGGTGTAAGTCTCCCAACACCTGCAGCACCCAGAGCCCACAAAGGTACAGGTGGGAACCCCAGTCTCCCAGGAAGCTCTGGGCGCTGCTTACCGCTGGCCCAGGCGGGGATGGGCTTCCGGGGGTGGGCCTCGTCATCGGTGGAGTCATCGCTGTTCAGGTCCATTCCGTAGTTATCTGGGTTGATCTTGGGGACCCCCCTGTGCCCTTGTGGAGTCATCTGATAAGAGGTACAAGCTGGAGACTGGAAGATAACAAACCGGAAGTCAGGTTCCTGGGCCCCAGGGGGGCAGAGCAAGGCGTCACTTCACAACTAGATAAGCATGCCCCAGACCACAAGCATCTCTCTCTACTTCCCTCTGTCCTGTGGAAGGATGCTGTAAACATCCTTCCTGGTCAGTGTGTACAAGTCCAGGATATTCCACTGGACTCGCCAGGATGTGGAATTCAGCCTTTTGCTATGGATGGATACTTAGCTAGTTTCCAAGTTCTCAACACTTCCAAGTATGCTGCAGGGAAGAATCCTTCCTCATACTGCATTTTAATCATCACAGCAATAAACTAGAAATGGCCTAACTGGTCAACCAATTTAGGTGCGTCTAAACGAAGGAATACTACATCCAAAATAAGGGATACTACGTCAAAACCCCAACACCAAACCCGCTGCCACTGAGCTGATTCTGGCTCATATTCCTCTGTTGTTTGTTTACGGCTGTCAAGCCAGTTCCGACTCACAGTGACCCTATATAGGATTTAAAAGGAATGGCAGGTGGACTTGAACTTCCAACCTTACAGTGCTTATCCTCCTCTAAGGAATACTAATATCAGCAGACTGACGTGCAGAAATATCGATAGATGTCTACAATACACTAATTGGGGGGGGGGGGCGGAATCAAGCTCCAGAATGCTACATATAGTCTATGGCTATTGTAAAATATGAGGGTATGTGTGTAAATGCCTATGTACAAGGGGGCTTCAGATAGTTCGTGGAAAAATGGATCTCAAAGCTAATGGGATTTTCACACAAACTTTTGGAAGCCCCCTTGTACATAAATATCTAGAAGTATATACACTAGGGTGAATAGTTTTTAGTCTAAAGGTACATCTTTTCTCACTTTCTTTCTAGCCTTACACACCTATGAAGTTCAGTTTCTTTTTTCACAACAAATTCTACTTCTAGAACAAGAATATAGGTGTCAAATATAATGAAACAATGAGGCCAATGGCATCCATCCGTCCTCTTCTGTGGGGGTCCTACTGCAGCCCGAGCCCCCAGCCACAGGGGAGAGGGCAGTCAGAGCAGTGCCCTCTGGGTCCAGCCTCACCTGCACGTCCATGGTCACACTCGGGCCTTTGCTGACCACCGCCGCCTCCTTGCCTTTTTTCTCCTGCTCCGCCTGCAGCCGCTGCTCAGCCAGACGCTGCTGTTCTTCCTGGGGCCCAACCACCAGCGGGGTGTTAGGAAGCCTTTGGGTGTGCTCTCCCCCGCCTTGCCCCTAGTGCCAACCCCACACAGACCATGGCCTGCCCGCCCTCCCCATTCAGAGTCCCCTGACCTTATTCTTCTTTTCCTCCAGTTCTCTCTGCAGCCGTTCTTTCTGTAACCGCAGGGCTTTCTCCCTTTCCTGTGCCTCCCTGGGGACCAAGCAAAAGCCTGTCAGAGCAGGAAGTGGAGGCCAGCCTGTGCAAGCAGGACCCACCGGCCTGGGAGGGAGAAGGGCAGACGGCCCACACAGCTTCGAGCCAACAGCAAGTACTCTGAGGGGAAAGAGTGGAGTCCACCCGAGTCTGACCTCATTTTTCTCTTCTGTGGAATGAGACCGTAACACCTCTCCCTGTGGGCCTGGGGGGACACCTCCACTACTTCCTAGCTTGTGACCCTGAATAAGTCACCTAACCTGTCTGAGTCTACCTCCTTCTTCATAAAACAGGGCCAATGGTGCTGCCCTGAGTGGCCTTCAGGCGGGGAGTTAACAAGGGAATGTGGGGCGCCTATAGCTCGGGACCTGACACAGGACTGAAGCAACATCACCATCACACCAGCACTGCTAACACCCACTCACTTCTAAGCACACATCAGCTGCCACCCTCCTACAGTCAGGGAAAGTCGGCCCCTAGGACCAGAGGACCCTCTGTGCCAATCAACTGAACGAAGCCCCAGGAGATGGCCCCGGCTCGGTCCACTTCTCCAATGGGATCCCTGCCACCCGACAAAGATGGACACAGAACAGAGTCCTGCCCAGCCTTCCTGGCCGTCATGTTTCCTAGAAGGTGGAAGCAGGAGAGAGGACACTGGTGGACTGGGCTGTGTGGGTCTATACAGCCACGTAGGCAGCTCAATGACTACACACAGGCACCAAATCTCTACACCCGCTGATGCTGAGTTGATTCTGATTCATCGGGAACCTAAAGGACAGAGTAGAGCTGCCCTGTCAGCTTTACGGGAGCCGACAATCTTATCCTTCTTCCTCGGAGAAGCTTTCTGGGTTTGAACTGTCAACCTTTCAGCTAGTAACTGAGCACATAACCACTGTGCTCCTTACAATCGGGCACAGGTCCCACCTATCTGCTCTGGCATTGCAGGGCTAACACAGCAGGCAGGGGGTGGCCCCTGCTGTGTGTGTCCGCTGCCGAAAATGCAGCATCTGCTAGGCCAGATTCTCCACAGAAAACCACCTGAAAACTTCCGGGAAGAGGGGTGACCAGAGCTGTCACCACCAGGGAGATAGTTGGCAGGGCCAAGGACGCTACATATCCTACGATTTCCCAGAAATCGAGGTTAACAGGATCTTCCTGGTGCCAAACACGGAGGGTGCCCCCTGCTGGCCAACACTGGCTGGCTTTACCTCCCTTGTCAGTGGAGGAAACAAAGAACCAAACAGATTGGCATGGGTAGTTGAAGGCAGAACCAACACAAAAACCCCAGTGCCCCACCTGCTGCCCCTACGTAACCTGTAGCCAACGTGCAAACGGCTTCAGGAGTTTCCCTGCTGTGGGCAGCTGTGTGAAGACAAGGAAAACCTGCCCCTTCTTTGCAATAGTGAGAGCAGACGACAGCAGGCAGAGCAGTGGGTTATTTAATGTGTCGTCTAGTGAACTCCCACCACATGACTTCCCTGATGGGTCTGGGTAGGAGAAGGTGGGAGAGGATGCTGATTGGTTGGTTATATGATTAAACTCTGAGAGATTCTTCACAGGGCTAATTGTGATTGGTCTATTTTGCCAGCCTGCTGGGTATAAAATGAGTCTGAAGCAGAAGTGGAGGGTGGCGGCCTCCCTTGGACCCAGAGATCCCGGCACATGGTGCCTCCTTGACCCAGGGACTAGACAGCTGTCACACTGGAGGATCTCAGCAGCAGAACCAGAGCACCTTACAGAGCCTGGGCTTCCCAGCCCATGGAGCAGGTCAAGCTGAGTGACTTTGGGCAGAAGGTTGGTCTGTGGAGTGGGGTGTCTCCTGGCATTAATTGGGGGAGCTAGAGCCAAGTGCCTTTGAGCTGAAGCATGTGGTGGAATGGAGCCTGTGGGTGTTGATCAGCAACCCTAAAAGAGCTGTGTAGCAGTGCGGAAGCAGGGTAGAGGCTACGCCAAGGGGCCAAGGACCTGAGAGAGGCCTGCCCTGGCACCGCAGAGAGCCTGTCCCTGAACACTCTGATGCTGAATTATAACTGGCTAGGTACCATGGGATACGGAGCTCTGGTAGCGTAGTGGTTACGAATCGGCCTGCGAACCTTAAGGTCAGCAGTTCGAAACTACCAGCTGTTGCGTGGGGGAAAGAAGAGGCTTTCTGCTCCCATAACCAACTCGATGGCACTTAACACCAACAATTTCCCTGATACACCCCATAACTGTGAGTACAGTGCCTGAGTTCTGTGTGGCCTTTGCAATGAGTTATTGAACGAAGCGGAGTAGAGTGCTGAGGAACGGATGGCTTAGCGATTGTTTGTTTTTGCAGCTACACTGCGCTCTCATCCACACGCACAGGGACATGCGGTGAGCCACTGTGTGCTAATCCACATGCACACACACACACATGCACAGGGACACGGGGTGAGCCACCGCGCACTAATCCACATGCGAACACACACACACACACACACAGGGACACGAACATGGGTGAGCCACTATGCTCTCATCTAGACACACACACACACACACAGGAACACGGGGTGAGCCACTGCACTCCTATCCACACACACACATACACACACAGAGGGACCCAGGGTGCCCAGGGGGTGGGGGTGGGGCAGCACGCTGCCCTCACCTCTCAGCCTGGAGCCGCTCCAGCTCCCTCTTGCGCTCGAGGTCCTTCCGCTTCTGCTGCTCCGCTAGCTGCCGCTCCTGCTCCCGCTCCTGCTGCTCCGCCAGCCTCTTGGCCTCCGCTGCCTTCCGCAGCCGTTCCTGTTCCTCCTCTTTCTTCTTCTGCAACAGCTCTTGGTGGCGTCGTTCCTCCTCCTGAGATTTTAACAGAGTGCAAGTTCAGTGCCTCTGGCCGGACATGGCCACCGGAGAGGCTGGAGAGTGGTCCAGTGGAGAAGGGAGGCTGGTGGGAGGGTGGAGAACTTGCCCCACTGGGCAGCCGGGGCCCCTCTCTTGTCAGCCGCCAGCTCAGGGCCTTGCAAGAGCCTGAAGTGGCATCATTGAGACAGTTAGCAGTACCAACCAGACTTGCTAGCTGTGTGGCAATGGGCAAGTCCTTCAACTCTCAAAGCCTGTTTTTGCATGGGCACAATAGCAGCCCTCCCACTTCATGGAGTCGCTGACTTTATACACATAACACATTTAGAACAAAGCCGGGCCCACAGTAAATTACACAAAAAATCATAGTCATTAAGTAATAGAAGTCTCTAGGGAAGATCCCACCACTCATCCATCCATCAGTGTGTCCTACGGTGGTGGCATATGTGTTGCTGTGATTCTGGAAGCAATGCTACAGGTATTTTAAATACCAGCAGGGTCACTCATGGTGGACAGGTTTCAGCGGAGCTTCCAGACGAAGCCAGACCAGGAAGGAGGAGAGGCAGACTACGTCTGAATGTTTAGTCACTGAAAACCTTGTAAATAGCAGCGGAACACTGTCAGATAGAGTGCTGGAAAATGAGCCCCTCGGGCTGGAAGGCACAACGCAGCAGCAACAAAAATGGACTCAGATACATTCATTGTGAGGAGGGCGCAGGACCGGGCAGCGTTTTGTTCTGTTGTGCACAGGGCCGCTATGAATGGGAACCAATTCAGGAGAACCTAACAACTATGACAGACTGGCACTGCCTAGAGAAGTCCCAAGGTCTCAGACGAAGCATTCAGGGCTGGATGACAGCAGCAAGCCGGCGCACAACACGGAGCACGAGCGGTTTACTCAGCACTTTACAGACATTAACACAGTTCACCTTCACAACAACGCTAGAAAGCTGACACCACTGAATCCTTTCCCTCCAGAATGTGTTGTAAATCCCAACCACAATACCTGTGGCTCTAATGCCCAGTGGGAAGGCGGATTTCTTTGTTAAGTTAACGAGATGGTGTTAGGTGTGTCTTCAGTTGATCTCTTCTGAGACACAGTGATGGGGGAGAGACACCAAGTCAATAAAAACCAACCGCCCAGGCGCCAAACAGAAGTTGCAGAGATGGACAAGGACCTTCTTCCAGAGCCCACACAGAGAAAGCCTTTCCCTAGAGTGGGAAGCCCTGGTTTGGACTTCTGACCTGTAACTGTAACTGTGAGGAAATACATTTCTGCTTGTGAGCCCCTCACTTGCAGCATTTCTGTTATTGCGGCACTGGGGAGCTAGAGGGCAGTGAATTCCTTGAACTGGCCAGTCTTTGTAACTCCCAGTAAATAAATGACCGGGTGCTTGTTGGTAGGTACAGTCCAGTTGGCGTTGTCTCACAGTAGAACAGAAACCTTACGCACAACAGAGCAAAACACTGCCTGGCTCCACGCCACTGTCACAATTATTGCTGTCACTGTCAATGCATCTCCTTTTGTGTGTGGGGAGAAGGTTTTCCTCTTCCTGGCTGACCCTCCACTTTATCAAGCATGATGTCCTTTCCTAGGGACAGGTCCTTCCTGACAACAAACATGTTCAAAGTATGTGAGACAAAGGCTCACCATCCTGGCTTCTAGTTGCACTTCTTCCAACACAGATCTATATCCAGTCTTCTGGCCATCCACAGTACTTTCAATATTCCCCAGCAACAATGCAATGTATCAATCAAATGCTTCAATTCTTTCTAGTCTTCCTTATTCATTGTTCAGCTTTTATGTTCATCTGAGGCAACTGAAAATACCATGGCTTGGGTCAGGCGCACCTTAGTCCTCAAAGTGACTTCTTTCTTTGCTCTTTAACACTTTTAAAAATTCTTTGCAGATTTGCCCAGTGCAATATATCATTTGATTTCTTGACTGCTGTTTCCATGAGGTTTGACTGGGGATCCAAGTAAAACTAAAGCCTTGACAACTTCAATCTTTGTTCCATTTTATCATGATGTTGTTCATTGGTCCAGTTGTGAGGATATTTGTTTGTTTGTTCCACCTGCTAAAGGCTAGGTGGATCTTCATCAGTAAGTGCTTCAGGGCCTCTTCATTTCCAACAAGCAAGGTTGTGTCATCTGCGTATCGCAGGTGGTTAATAAGCCTCTCTCTTCCTGTCGTCTAGATTTGTGGATTATTAGCTCAGCCTAATAAAGGAGCTCTGGTAGCGTAGTGGTTACGAATCGGGCTGTGAACCTTAGGGTCAGCGGTTCGAAACTACCAGCCGCTCCACGGGAGAAAGATGAGGCTTTCTACTCCTGTAAAGATTTACACCCTTGGAAACCCTGTACAGGGTCGCTATGGGTCGGAACCGACTCGATGGCACTTAACAACAACAACAATGGACTGAATACTGTTGTTAAGGCATAGGACCCTCATGCACACCTTTGCTGATTTTCAGCCATTCAGTATTCCCTTATTGTAACGGACTCTTGGTCTATGCACAGGTTTTGCAGGAGCACAGTTAAGTGTTCTGGAATTCCCATTCTTCCCCATGTTATGCATAATTTGTTACAATACACTTAGTCACATGCTTTTGCAGGCTTCTGAGTCCATGGATTGAGCCCTCAGACAATTGGCCACTTGCACAGAATACTGGAGGCAGGTCACTGTCCCCAGCCCCATCCAGCTTCCTTTTGGGCTTGAAGCAACAGCAGTCAACAAAGTTCAACCCAACAAAGGCGCACCCCCCACATCCTCATGGCCTGTCCTGCCTGCACGTCTTCCCGGACACTCCAGCCCTCTCTCCCGCCAGACACTCACCTGCTGCAGCCACTTGAGCCTCCGAGCCTCCTCTTCCTGCTTCCTGCGTGCCTCCACCTCCTCCATTTTCTTGGCTGCTGCCTTTTTCTTAGCTTTCTCCTCTGCCAGCCGCTCCTCCTTGGCCTGTAGAGCGCCCCCCATGTGCCCACTGAGCAGTGCCGAGCCCAGAACTCCCCGCACCCCTACAAACTCGCTCCTTCCCCACAACCCAGGCGAGAAGGCTCTGGAAGCTGGTCCTGGAAGAACTGGGCCAAGACCTTCAGCTCTCTACCCATGGGGCAGAAGTATGGGCCTCCAATCCCAAACTCCTCCAGCCTCCACGCCTCGCCCTCCGACCAGCCGTCTGAACTGCTGGGCTCCTCCTCCAGCCACCGCCCACCCGGAAGTCGGCCGTCAGTCAGCCAGCGCACGATGCACACCTTCTCGGTCTTCTCGTCGATCTGAGCAAGCTTCTGCTCCATCTGCTTCTTCTTCTCCTCCTTCAACTGCTCCACCCGCTCGCGGGCCTGCAGCACCTTGCGGAGGCGCTGCTCACGTTTCCTGTAGACACAGGGCCTGCAGTCACACGGGGTGGCCAGCTGAGGGAGGCTGGGTCGGGAGGCAGGTGGGTGCGGCCGGACCACTTACAGTTTCACCTCCTCCAGTCGCCGCCGCTTGTCCTCCTCCACTTTCTGTCGGCGGAGCTGCTCGGCCTCCTCCTTCCGCCGCAGGGTCTCCAGGCGCTGCCGCTCCTTCTCCTGGGGAGGGCAGGGCATAAGCGTGCACAGACAGTGGTAACCTAGGGACAAGGCCAGCCCAGGGCAACCGCCCAAACCCAACAGCCCCCAGCCAGACTGGCAGTAGTAATAGCAGAGGCAGCGGCATTCCCTAAACGCATCCTCCAGCCCAACCCAGACCAAGCTAGTCCTTCCAAGGGCTCGAGACGGCAGCCCCCTTAACTGCGTCCTGCCAAGCCACCAGCAGCACCAGAATCAGGGTTCCAATGAGAACGACGTAAAAGCTGCCTTTGAAGGGAAAGAAGGAGATTGGGAATCACAGCTTTGGGAGTAGGGTCAATGTTTAAGGGTGTAGTGGATACACGGTGTTAACTTACTATAATTATGCTTTATAGCTTATGTGTGCATCTGTGTGCGCATACACACATATACATTTCCTATGCCCGTATCAGCTATTAAAATATTTAAAAAGTCAATGAGAGTCAGGTATAAGGCAATGATTTCAAATAACATTCACTAATGTAAACTATTCTAAGGAGTCCTGGTGTGGCGCTGTGGGTTAATGCGCCCGACTGCAGAGCCTTTTGAACTGCAAGGTGGGCAGTTAAAGCTCACCAGCTGTTACTTGGAAACCCTATATAGGGTCGCTATGGGTCAGTACTGACTGGACAGCACTAAACAACAATGTAAACTATTAGGAGTTCTGGTAGTGTAGTTGTTATGAGTCAGGCTGCTAACCTCAAGGTGAACAGTTTGAAACTACCAGATGCTCTGTGGGAGAAAGATGAGGTTTTCTGCTCCCATAAAGATTTACAACTTCAGAAATCCTATGCAGGGTCGCTATGAGTTGGAACCGACTCCATGGCACACAACCACCACCACCATATCACCAATAATAAACAAAGACCACCACCATTTTGACTTCTGTTAAGTGTTGTTGAGTTGATTCTGACTCATAGTGACCCTGTATAAGGTTTCCGAGGAGCAGCTGGTGGGTTTGAACTGCCGACCTTGTGGTTCACAGTCCAGTGCTGCTCCTACAGCTCCAGTGACCCTATATAGAGGTTTCTAAGACTGTAAATCTTTACGGAAGCAGACAACCTCATCTTTCTGCCACAGAGAGCCTGCTGCGTTTGAACCGCTGGCCTTTCAGTTAGCCGCTCAGTGCCTAGCCACCAGGGCTCCGTATGAACTATAAAAGTTGAAAAGAGATGAGAATAAAAGAAAATAGAGCCAAATGCAAAGAAAAGTTGCAACAGAGTGGCAAGGGAGATTGTTATGAAGTGCCAGCGAGTCGGTTCCAACTCACAGCAACCCTGTACAGGGTTTTCAACAAGCAACTGGTGAGTTTGAACCACTGACCTTGCAATTCAAACCAGTGCATTATCCTACAGCGCCACACCAGCACTTAGAATTGGGATGGTATTTTTTCCTTTATTTTCCAAACTTCCTGTGATGTGGCTGTTACTACTTCCGCAGTTTTGAAACTAATTTAAATGTTCTAGCTGGTTGTACATTAGACATATGTTGGGACCCCTTCTCAGCAGGTCCAGAGCCCCAGTGGCACAGCCATAGTCCTGGGCAACAAGCAGGGGCTCCAACACTACCCTGCCCAAGGACAAGACTGGTATCTTACATCTGAATGCTTGAGGGATGGGAGTGGTTTCTAGGGCCCAGGCTGGAGCCCCACCCCATCCCACCTGGCTCTCCCCACACTGGTTATTGCTCAACTCCCTGCAATCTCAGGAAGGGTGCATTCCCACCTAGAAATCTGGCCCCAAGCTCATCAAAGCTCCCCGAAGACCAGAGAAGAGAAGGGCTTTGGATCTCAATGAAGCCAGAATAAACACTCCACGCTGTGTCTCCCATTAGAAGTAGCAAGAAAACCTGGAGAGCGTACACGGAGCCACTGTCAGTGGAGAAGCAGGCAGCCAGGGGACATGGGCTTCGGGCCTCCTAAACTATGGGACTCTTGGTGTGGTGTAGAATAAGCACTGGACTGTGACTCACAAGGTTGGTGGTCCAACGGTTCAAACCCACCAGCTGCTCCTTAGAAATCTTATACAGGGTTGTTATCAACTCGATCGATGGCACTCAAAACAACAAACTATGGGAAAATAAATGTGCTTGTGAAAGCCATCCATTTGTTATCATCGAGTCAGAAAACAAAACACACGGATCTGTCCCCAGTTATCATGTCAAAGGCTTTGAGGACCAAACTAAACAGGACACTTCCAGGATCCAACCTAACTCAGGACATATATATTCAAACATGGCTGCAGAGACTTGAAATCTGAACTAACACTGGAACTACAATCCATAGAAGGTGAGTTGGGACTGGTGTGGCACACGGTTGTGTCACAACACAAGGCTGTGGCACACGGTTTTAAGGTGCTGACAGAAAAGAATTGTCCACCCTGACCTCAATAGCCAGTGAAAATAGCCTTCAGAACTGAGGGTGAGAGAGAGATTTTCTGATGAAGGAAAACCCGTGAATTGGCTGCCAGCAGACTTGTCTGAAAGAACTACTAAAGGATGTTCTTCAGACAGCAGACAATGGCATCAGGAGGAAGTGCGAGAGATTAGGGATGAAGGAAGAGCAAGAGAAATGGTATCTTTCTGGATAAATATTTCCTCTGGAGCTCCTGACAATGTTTGACAGTTGGAAACAAAACAATAAACACTGTCTGATGTATAGTTAAGTGCCAACGGCAGCAAGGGAAGGAGAGGGAAGTAAAGGGCTATGGGAGTGTGTGTGCGTGTAAGGTTTCTGCATTCTAACTCAAATGGTAGCATCCTCATTCTGAATTGACTGTGAAGATTATGAAATGCAACATGACAGAACCTAAGAAAAAAATTTACGTTCAAATAACACGCCCCCCCCCCCCCAAAAAAAAAAAAGAAAGTCAAGGGAAGAGAAACAGAAGAAAAGACAAGGAAAACAAATACGGACTTGAGTTATGAACCAAATGTCAGATTTAAGGGCAACGCCTAGCTCCCCTTTAATATTCTGTAGAATACTCTTCACTTTGAACTGATTGAACCAACCCCCTAACGGCAACAAATGCTTCATCCCAATCCCTGCCACCTGCTGCACCTGTAGCTATAAATAAAGGAAAACTCCCTAAGTCTTTTCTTGCACTAACCAAAAAATAGCAGACGGGACCCAACACTGTTGAATCAATTCACGTTCAGATAAAGGCAGAGCAGAACTGCTTCACAGGGTGTCTGAGTCTAGCGTAGTGGTTACGAATCGGGCTGCAAACCTCAAAGTCAGCAGTTCGAAACTACCAGCTGCTGCTCTGCGGAAGAAAGATGAGGCTTTCTGCTCCCGTAAAGATTTACAGCCTTGGAAACCTGTTCAGGGTCCCTATAGGTCGGAACCATCTCAACAGCACATAACAACAACAACAATCTTTATGGGAGCAGACTGCCACATCTTTTTCCCGCTGAGTGACTGGTGGGTACGAACCACTGGCCCTTAGGTTAACAGCCAAGCACTTAACTACTACACCACCAGGGTTAGTCTCACTAACCACAAACCCACTACCATCTAGTTGATTCTGACTCATGGCGGCCCTATGGGGCAGACAGCACTGTTCCTTAGGGTTTCCGAGATGCTCTTCTTTAGGGAGCAGCCTGCCTTACCTTTCTCCCGCGGAGCAACTGGTGGGTTCCATCATCTACTTTGAAGTTAGCAGCCCAATGCTACTAACCCACGGGCTCCTCCTTGTATTCACGGAACCAAACCAAACTCACTCCCATCAAGTCGATTCTGACTCATAGCGACCCTGTATAGGGTTTTCAAAGCTGTCAATCGTTAACAAGACTAAAAAGCCTCATGTTTCCCCTTACAGAGTCCCTGCTGGGTTTGAACTGTTGATCTTGTGGCTAGTAGTCCAGTGCTTATCTTCAGCACCACCAGGATTCCTTTCTTGCACTAAAGTAACGCTAAATATGAACAACATGCGCCTGTTCTGATTCACCTATAATTTCCACTTAAACACTTAAAAAGACACAATTAGGAATGGAACGCCTTCATAACCTGGGGACTACCTGTAGGCAGGAGTCCTTATGTGGTGCTGTGGGTTAATGCGCCGGACTGCAAAGTCGGTTTGAACTGCAAGGTTGGTGGTTCAAGCTCACCAGCCACTCCTCAGAAACACCATACAGGTCGCTATGAGTCAGAAATGACTTGACGGCACTTAACAACAACAATAAATCCAAACATGACATTAAATGTAATATACCAAATAAGAGCCATTGCTAGAATGAATTTAAAATAAATAACAAACAGACCCAACTATATGTTGTCTGTAAGAAACACGCTTCCAATAGGATCTAGGTGGCTCCGCAGGTATTATGCAGCATCTGAAAAGGTTAGCTATCGTAGAAATGCATTTATGACATTCGGTAAAAGAACTCAGGTGATGGAGAACAGATCAGAAGAGTCCAAGAGTTCGGGAGTAGAGAGATAAAGAGACAGCAAGAGGGAAGTTTGCTCTGGGTCCTGAGTGTGGGGCCGGTTACAAAAGTACAGCCACGTTACAACTCAAAGAACTACAAACAAGAAAAGGTCAGTCTTGCTGTATGATCACTTGTTTAAAGCAGCAAAAGCAATGCTGAAAGGACAGAGGAAACAGATTCCAAGCTTAGTGCAGGAAGGCCGGAGGGTGCTGGCCTTTGGGAAGGGACCCAGGTGAGCAGGAATGGGTGGTCTGCAGCAGGGCCTACCTGGCTCTCCAACTGCCCGGAGTTGCCAAGGTTCCAAGACCCAGGGAAGAGCAGCAGCAAGGGACTGGGCCCCCACCCCACTTTCCCTCACACCACTGTGCTCCGGCCTGCTGTCCCATGAGAGCCTCCATAGCGAAGCCCGGCGTCTGTCCCTCTTTTTCTACCCTGAGAGCCCACTCTTAACAATGCCGGTTTTCATGCCAAAGCCTGAGAGCACTGAAGTGCCTCACATTGTAAACATTACAGAAGAAAACATGGTGCTTAAACACAGTTTGTTTCTCCTCTGCCAACCCTCAGCAGCAGATGGGTGGCCCCTAACCCCCAGGGGGTCCCTCAGGACCCAAGCAGAGGGGAGAAAACCACAGGCCTCCAGGGGTCCCTATAGAGAAGCTTCTCTGTGAGCTATCCAACGGCCCTTCTGTGGTTCATCAAATCTCTACCAAGGAACCACTGGGCTCATGTGGAAGCTGAGGAAACAGACCCAAGGCAGGAGCTGGGGCTGGATGGCAGCTGTTTACCTTCGCTCCCTTCCTAGGCCCCTGATCTCTAACTAACCCACCAGAGGCCCCATCAAGAAGCTGGACTCCCAGAGCAGGGCAGCAGGGGTGGGGCAAAGGGGGCTTCTCCTCAGGAGAGAAGCAAGTGTGAGTTCCACTCACCACTGTGGACTCAGATGCCCGGCACGGAAAACGGTGCCGTAAGACCACTGGCAGGTTGCTGGCACACTGGAAGGCATGCCACCAACACCTCAGCTACTTGCAAGGTCAGGGCCCACCTGTCCAGTTGGTAGGACAGGGCTGCTCGGCCCTGGCTGGAGGCAGAAGCCTTCCTCACTGCACAGGGCGTCCCTGTACACCGAGGTGAGCGTCCCTTCAAAGCATCTGTGGAAGCTCAAAGGATAGGTGGGCTACAGCTGCGGCAACAAGCCCAGGAGACCCCAGGGAGTCAGCTCCAGGTGGCTCCTGGCTCGTGGCCGGAGGCTGGCTCGGCTCAGCTCTGAGATGTCTGAGAAGAGAACAGACTGTGGCCTAGTTCCCAGAGGCCCCCTCAAGACCCCACCTCAAACCAGGGTTCAGACCCAAACCTTCCTACTCCCCCAAAATCCCACCCTGTTAAGGCATAGCTGAGGTTTGTGATAAATCTGTGTGGCTCCGGGGATCAGACACCACCCGTCTGTTCTCTTCGCAGCCCCCAGAGCCTGGCTGTGGGGGCACTTCAAGCAGTGGCCCTGGTGAACACCTGCAGGTCAAACCCCTGTTTGCTTCCTCCTGCCTCAAGAACCCATTCCCCGTAGGAGCAGGTTCTGTCCACCGCCCCCCTCCCCACAATGCTCCTTGGCATCTGGGCCCCCAGAGTTAGCGTCTCTACAGGTGCCACATTGGCTATAGGGAGAGCTACGGCAGTGAGTGCTAGGTGGAGCTATGTTACAAGGATAAGGAAGGGTTACTTACGACAAAGCTGCACTGTGGAGGGAGACAAGGACAAAGCCGAGTTAATGCCAGGCTGGAACACACCCTGGGAGCAGCCACACTCTGGCTGCCCCGCTCAAGGGGGCATCAGCCTACCCTAGGCTCTCAAAATAAGCACATCCGCACCTACCCCTCCCCTAACTGTCACACCACCAGGGTGTGGCCATGGGGCAGTGCTAGGTCAGTTCTGCAACAGGTCAGGACAGGGTCCCACGTGTCCCAGCCGCCTATGGCCATAGAAACTCCTAGTGGCTCCCGACCAATGGCAGGCTCCTACTCCCAGCCTGCTGTGACCCAGGCTCCTATTCCCAGCTCGCCTCTGAACCAGGCTTCTATTCCCAACCCAGTGTGAACCAGGCTCCTATTCCCAGCCCAATGTGAACCAGGCTCCTCCTCCCAGCCCACTGTGAACCAGGCTGCACTGCTCACACAAAGGCTGGGTGGGACGCAGGTCCCCTCACCTTGGGGTCCACGCGCAATGGGGTGTTACGCTTGATGAAAGACTTCATGACGCTGTTGCGGGATGTGGAGGTCGGGGTCATGAGCATCTGGTTCCTCTGCACTGTGTGCAGGAAGGTGCGCAGGGGCCGTACCACCTGCAAGGGGGGTTGGGGTCAGGGCTGGTGGGGGATCTCAGGTACTGGGTCTGGGCAGGCTGGGTGGGGGGCAGATGCCAGCTCACCTTGTTGGCAGGGCAGGGTGGGGAGGGGGTCTTGTTTCTGGGGGGCTGCAGCTCCTCATCGTCTAGGTGCCGTTCCTCGTCCAGCTCGCTCACCGCCTGCTTGTAGCTGCGCTTTCTCCTGCCAGGGTGGGGACAATGGCTTCACAGGTCGCCGACGCCCAGCCCTACCCCATGGGGCTCCGCCCCAGGACAGTGTACAACCCACAGCATAGCTTCCTTAGGTCAGAGCCCTGGGCAGTCCTAGCTGAGGGACTGGAAGATCCCACCACACAGTCGCCTGCAGTCCCCTTCTCTGATGCCAACCTGACACTCTTAGGCGGTTCCTTGGTCTCATCTGCCTTGTCAGGCGTGGACTCTGTGAAGAGAGCAGTTTGAGGGATGGAGGCAGAGGGACCAGGAAGGTGGAGGGACTCCAGAAAGGACCCACAGCAGCAGCCCTGACAGGGGGCGGGGCTCTCCTCCCGGTAGATCCCTGAGCCTAGTCCCCTGGATACAGCTGTATGTAGTCGCCTTCATACAGCTGGTGGGGAAGGCTCACCATTCTGGCTTTCAGAGGAGGATTCCTGGTCGCCAGCTTCAGGCTGTGAGCCGGATGTGCTAATGGTGATCTTGGTGGTTTTTTGAGGCCACAAGCTGTTCTCTTTGTTCTTGGAGTTCTGTGGGCAAAACCAAGGCTCTTGGGGTCTCCACCTGGGCTCAAGGTGGAAGGTAGGGGTGGTGCTGGGCACAAAGCCCTCTGGAGTCCTCCTCACTGGCCTGTCCTTACCTCCAGCTCCGTGGCCTCTAAGGGCTCTGCTTCCTGGCTGGGCTCCTTCAGGTTGGGGCTGAAAGGAGAGTAGGAGGCATTGCAGGGAAGGCCCAGCAAGCCCAGACTGCCCCCCGAAGGGAGTTCCACCACCAGTTCTTGAAGGGTAGGGACCCAAGAGAGGTCCGCATCTGACCAGAGCCACAAGCCCAGACACCCAGAAAAGATGGAAGCACAGGAACCAAAGGCAGAGGCTCTCTGGAGGCTGAGGAGGTCAGTTTCTGAACCTGGCTTTATTTCACAACTGACTGGGAAGCTGAACCCTCACCCAGCTCCACCCCAACCCTCAGGCCCACAGGAACCAGGGTCAGCCAAGCTGCCGCCACTTTCCAAGCTCTGGTCCTCCACTCCAAAGCAAGCAGGGAGACCCAGGGGCCACCAGGGCTGAACTCACATGATTTTCTGGGGTACCTCCACATTCAGGAGTCTCTCCAGGTAACTGTGACCTGAGGGGAAACAAGGACACAAAAGAGGCTATGAGAAACTGACCAGAGGTCCCCAGGTGCCATCCTTAGAGGGTCTGGACCCTCTCCACCCAGCAAGCAGTGGGCGCTTGGCCCCTCATCTTGAGCTTGGCAGATCTCTGAGTTTCCCGTCTCCTGTACTTCCTAGTGGCTTTGTCTCAGGGCTGGGAATATCTTGGGTAGACAGCCAAATCTAAAACTCTGCATGTGGCTAGACACAAAGCAACTTATTTACTGAATAGTACATTTCCTCGTCATGGCCACGTACTAGGGACATAGCCAATACCCAGTCTAGGTAACTGATCACTGAGTAATCTTACAAACGACACAGTAAGACATGTGCTGGCAGAAAAAAAGCAGAGGTTTCAAAGCCCAGGAGGGGCTCTAGCTGATCTAGGGGATCAGACCTGAAATAGCGAATTTACAGACAAAAGCGGGGAGTGGGAGGGAGAAAGATGTCCAGGGGCTGTGGTTCCCACAGTGTACTTTCACACCACTGGGAGTCCCCAAGATCCTATAGGGAAACACCCATGAGGGTCTTAACTATTTTCACCATAATGCTAAATTACTGGCATCCTGGTGTGATGCTGTAGGATAGATAAGCACTGGACTGCTGACGGCAAGGTCAGTGGTTCAAGCCCACCAGCTGCTCTTTAAAAACCCTATACAGGGATTGACTGAGTTGGAATCAACTTGATAGCAGTTAACCACAATTACACCACAAGCCGCTAATTTTACCCTTTCGGCTGTGGGTGGACCATTTATACAATGGTGGGAAAGCAATGGCAAGTGAAGTTGCCGGTGTCTTCACATAAATCAAGACAGAGCCACCAAACTCCTCTGAAGCCAGTGTACTTGCTGGCTGGTGTTGTCAGGTGCCGTCAAGTCGGTTCCTATTCATAGCGACCCTGTGTAGGGTTTCCAAGGCTGTAAATCTTGGTGGGAGCAAAAATTCTCATCTTTCTTCCATGGAGCGACTGGCAGGCTTGAACCACCATCCTTGTGGTTTCCAGTCCATGCTTGTGCCACGAAGAGCCACCGCACTATCCTACCCAGCACATACTCACTTTAAGAATGTGCTTGCTGATGGAGTAAAAGGTAAAAATCACTAAATCTTAATAGGAGCTTTTTAATATTCTAGGTGATAAAGTGGGAAGCATGCATAAGTGATTCTGTTACTGCTTACCAAGTCTCCGTGAAAAATTACTCAGGTGACTGAATGCCCAGCTCAACTAGTCATTTGTCTGTCTTTCACTAGTCATTTGTCTGTTTGTCTTTCACTAGTCATTTGTCTGTTTGTCTTTCACTAGTCATTTGTCTGTTTGTCTTTCACAGACTTATAAATTCAAAGAAAGGCTGACAAACCACGGCATATGACGGACATTTTCTCAAAACCAGACAATATGGGCTTGCCCCTTAAAGCAAAACAACTAATAGTTTGCATTTGTTGCAATAATTTTTTAAGAATTGAGCTTTTACAGCAAAAACAGAATTTTGAAAAACGTGTTTCCTACTACTATGAGCTTTGGTTTCCTGGTACGAAGAGACTTTTCCTATGAGATCAGGAAATAATTGTGAATTCTTAGCTTTTCCTGGTGTCGTGCTGTAGGATAAGCACTGGACTGTTGGACTGTTGACCTCAAGGTCAGAGGGAGAAAGATGAGGCTTTCTGCTTCTGGAAAGATTTATCACCCGTATAGGGTTGCTATGAGTCAGAATCGACTGTATGGTAGTGGGGTTTTTTTCCTTTTTTTTCTGGGGTGGCACTGTGGGTTAATGCACTGGACTGCAAAGAAGTCGGTTTGACCACAAGGTTGGTGGTTCAAGCTCACCAATCACTCCTGGGAAACCCTATGGGTGGCAACCCGCTAGATGGCACTTAACAAGAACAATATATAAAATGGAGTATGCTGATATTTGGAAGATCTGCATTCCTTTGTGACCAGTATTTTCCAAAATCACATATGGCTAAAAGATCCACTGAACGTCCTCCCCGGGAGGATCCACACGTCCCATTACGTGCTGATCCATGCCTCCGAGTCTGTGCACAAACCATTGGCTTGTCATGGATACCTTCCCTGTATTCTCCCACCTAGCAAAAGCCCAAGCATCTTTCCAATCCTTCCCATCTCAGATCCCAGCCCTCCACACTGTTGGCCTTAAAGCTGCTGTCTCTCTCCTATGGCTTCCATGGGATCAATGGTTTCCCAAGCAAGGTACCAAGGATGCTGAACCAGCTAGCATCACGAGGCTCCTCCTCTATGCTAGGCTCTGTCCAGGCACCCTGTGTGGACTAACTATAGACACTCCACAAGACATCCTCTATAGTCAGAGATGCTAGTCTGATCCCCTAGTCAATAGATGAGGAACTTGAGGAACTGAGCTCCACAAAGAAGTTTCTGTAGTCACAGAGCAGACCAACAGCTGAGCTGGGATTCAACTCATGCCATCTTGACCCCCATCAGATAGCCAGTCTTCTGTGTACCTCCTCCCCCTCACCACACAGAGAAGAGACTGTTTGGAAGACAAGTCACATCTCTACACCTCTCCAGCTCACAACCAACAGCTGGCTGCTCACAATGTAACTTCAAGTTCAGCTTCTTAGTCACACAGCCACATGGCCGAGTAGCCACAGTACAAGACAGCACAGAGAGGGACCTGGTCATCACGGCAGAATGCTCTGTTGGGCAGCAAGGACCACCCACAGCACCGCTTCCCACCACCACTGCTGAGCCCCCAGACTCACAGATGATACGGGCAGAAGCGGCCGGTTCTTTGGGGGTCTTGTTGGCTAGCCTTTTGCTAGACCTGCGGACCGTGTCCTCCTGCTCCTCCTGGGGACCTGAGGGGATCAAGCTGCGCCGCACTGACCGTGTGTTGGAGTGGGAGCCTGTCTTGGTGCTGGAGTTATCTGGCAGGAGAGGAGCCAGCACCCGTTCCCGCCACAGAGAGTCTGGTGAGTCAGGTGGGATGGAGGAGGCGTGAGCAATCCTGAGCTTGGATGCGGACCGCCCGGCCCCTTGGCCCTTGGGGCCCTGGGGGGTAGTCATCAGGGAGCTCACGGTGACAGACTCAGGTCTCCCAGCCTCTGACTTCGTGGGTGTGGACTCACTGTCTGAAGATGGGACACCCTGTGAGGTGGGAGCCTGCGATGCAGCTGGGACCGGCCTGGGCTGGGTGAGGTACTGCTCAGCACACAGCCGTTCACTAAGTCCTATGGCCACCATGGGCACCAACTGGCACGGGGTGGTGGTGTTCTTGGGCTTCTTGGTCAACGTTCTGGGGGACTCGGAGGTGGGTGAGGGAGCAGCCGAGGTGGCAGCAGCTGCCACCGCCGCACGGGTCAGCTGGACAGAGCCGTTCTCTCCCATCACCGTAGCCAGCTTCTCCACCCTGTCCTTGCTACGGAGGTACCGGGTGCTCAGGCGACTGCTCCGAGACTTCCTGCGGGATAACCTGTAGGGGGCAGCAGAGCACAGGCTGAGATGGTGGCCCAGTAGGGCAGGTGGTTGCTGTTGGGTCCTAGATGACAGATTAGTACTGTCATCTTCACGGAAGCACATCGGAGCCACTGGTAGGCTCGAACCGTGGACCTTTCCATTAGCAGCCAAGGGCTTAATCATTGTGCCACCAAGCCTCCCAGCAACACTGGGATACTCTAAAGATGAGCTTTGACACGCCCGCCATCTTCCTGTGAGCCACCAACTCAGCCAGAAGGGCCTGGAGAATGAAGATGGGGAGTTAGCATCTAGTTCTGTGGTCCCAGGCTGCTTGCGTCTGAGCCTGTCTTCCTACCTGTGAACTGGTAAAACAGCAGCCTTGCAGGGAAGATTAAATTCATACAAACGAATGGACGGTCCTGAAGACAACTCCCAGTGACTGACCTCACACTGTGCCAACCACCCTACTGGGGGCTTTACGCCATGAAGAGATGGAGCCCGAGAGGTGGATACCATTTCCTACCCTCTTGGAAACAGAGGCTCAGAGAGGAACATACCGCTGCTGAAGGGCAGAGTTAGAGTTTGCAGCCAGCGTTGCTTCACCCCGCAAGATCCAGCCTCACTGCCCTCTTCCTCTGCAGCCCAGAACCATCTTAGAAGAGACCACAACAGGAGCAGCAGCCAGAAGGTCTGGGAACCACCTGGTTCCTCTCAGCCATTCTTCTCACATCTCTTGGTACCAGGATAAATTCTTCCCAACCACCAAGCCCGGGACCAAACACGTTCCACCCCCAATACATAGCCAACATGCTGAAGTCACACACTGACTCCATAGTCTTGGGTCAGGCTTTCAATTCCCCCACCAGGATCCCATTCTTCAGTGTGACCCACATCATACCAGCACCATTCCACTCCTGCAGAATCAAACTCACCCACCGGGCCCCACGTCTCAGCAGATCACCCCACCTGCCTGGTTGCATGCCCCTGCAGCTACTGGTGGATCTGGTTCCCCCTACCTTTTCCGAATTGGATCTCTATTTTCATCCTGAACAGAAGAAACCCGCCTCTTCTTCCGTCGGTTCTTCTGAGAAGGTGTTTTGGGCATTAGCTCAGGCTCCTTGCTGAATTCTCTGTTTGGTTCAAGGAGGGTGATGCTGGCGGCTGACTAGAGCCATAGTGCCCCCCTTTCCAATCCAGCCTGGTCCTGACCCATTTCTTGTCTGAAGCAGCAAAACTGGGGTGACCGGCATCACACAAGCTTTCCAAGGCCACATGCAGAGCAGGAGGCTCTTAGTCAAGGCTCTGCCAGCCCCACACCCAAAGGCCCTCAGAGCCACAACCACAGAACCGGGGGATGTCAGGACCCACGCTCTCCCTGGGACAAAGGCAATCATAAGAAGGGAAGGGGGCCCCAGTGAGAAGCTAGAGGAGCAGGGATGCATGAAAGCAGCTGGCAGTAGCCGACAGCAGAGGCCAACTGCCTCTACATTGCCCTCCCTCCTCATCTACATCCTACCACCCCAGGCCCACCCTAGACGACCCCTGGGTGAGGGCAGGGGCCTGAGTGATGAAGGAGCCAGCAGCAGGGATGTCTGCAGGAAAGAGTTAGGCAGAGAGGAAGTGGGTGGGGGGGCAGCAGGAAGGAGAGGGTAAAGCACTTGTAATTCCTCCCACAGCCACCAGGGGTTCCTGTCAGAAGGGACCAGTGCACATGTCCCCACACAGGCAAGGAGCTCAACCTCTCCTTCCTCTTCTCCTATACCAGGGTGCCCCAGCAGGGACAGACTGTCTGCCCCGCCTATCAAGCTGATGAGTGGGACTCCTGGGTCCCCAAGGCTGCAGCAGCCGGGCATTCTTGTACAACCCTCTCAGAGCCCCGACCTCACCTGGTGAACATGCGCTCAGCCTCCTCCTCAATCTCTTCCAGCCACACCATGTCCTTATTGTCCACATTACAGACAAACTCCATGAGCTTCTGGTCACAGAGCTCCAGCAGGTGAATGGGCCCTGGGGCTGTGGTCCCCATGGTGGCTGTGTGATGAAGGCAGGGGCAAGGGTCACAAGTCCCTCTTCCAGGGGAAGAGTTTGCCGGGACCCACCTGCAAAAACAAACAAACAAACAAACAAACATAAAACCACTAAACTCACTGTCATGGAATCAATTCTGACTGTTGCGACCCTGGAGGACAGAGCTGAGCTGCCCCAGAAGGTTTCCAAGGCTGAAATCTTTATGGAAACACTAAGCTCACTCCAGCAGAGCAGCTGGTGTGTTCGAACTGCTGATCTTTCAAATAACAGTGGAGCTCTTAACGACTGCACCACCAAGGACTCCTTCATGCAACACCATCCACTGCCTCTGAGTGGATCATAGTGACCCTACAGGACACAGGAGAACTGCTCCTTAGGGTTTCCAGGACTGTAATCTTTACGGTACCTACGAGTCGGGCTGCGAACCTCAAGATCTGCTCGTTCGAAACTACCAGCTGTTCCGCGGGAGGAAGATGAGACTTTCTGCTCCCATAAAGATTTACAGCCTCAGAAACCCTGTACAGGGTCACTATGAGTCGGAACTGACTCCATGGTACATAACCACCACCACCAATCTTTATGGGAGTCCTGGTGTGGCGCTGTGGGTTAATGCACCAGACTGCAAAGCTGTTTGAACTGCAAGGTTGGTGGTTCAAGCTCACCAGCTGCTCCTTGGAAACCCTATACGAGGTAATTGTGGGTCAGAATCGATTTGACAGGACTTAACAACAACAACAACAACCTTTATGGGAGCAGCTAGTCTCCTCTTTTCCTGCAGAGCAGCTGGTGGTTTTGAACTGCTAACCTTGAGGCTAGCAGCCCAACGCTCTACCTGTAGTCCCCACAGAACACCCAGGACCTGAAGTAGGACCCCTCCCTGCTCATAGTCACTTTCCACAACTGCAGAATCCCAAGGGCCAATCCATTACCCTTACCTTTTCAGCTGTTGTTATGTAATGTGGAGTTGGTTTGCAGCCCGATTCGTAACCACTACCCTACCAGAGCTCCTTTAACTTTGCAGCAGAGGGGTCTTTATGTCTCACACTCATTTGCCACACCTCTCCTGACACCATACACACACACACACAATGGCACAGCTGTCCCCATAAGGCCACACTTTCTAGTCAACGTTGATCCAATGATCCCTGTTACACAAATGGCCTTTTTTCCCCGTGACACCAACAGCCATGCAGAGGGCCGTGACAAGGCTGTCTCCATCCAGAGAACACTACGGGAGGAAGTGGAGAGCTCAACAGTCTCAGAGGGGCTACAGAAAGGTGACAAGGCAACGCCAAGTGCCTTTCTGCATCATGGGGAAACTGTGACCACGGGAGCCTGTCCACGGGCCCAAACACAGACCAACAATCCTGCTGGCTTTCTGGGTTGACATAATAGCACCCCATACACCTGACCCCAGCCACCAGGCCAAAGAACATCAAATCCAACTACCTCCTAAAGAGGCCAGTGAAACAGAAGGGGCATCTGTAATCCAAAGTAGCCAGAAAGGAAACAGGGCCCCCAAAGACCCTCCTGAGTCATATCCCTTGAGCTGAGATGCCCAAGAAGCTGATATGGAAGCCTGTGAGAGTAAATAAGCAATATCTTATTTTTGAGAAAACTTGTCTACAAATATTGGATGGGGTTGTTGTTATGTGCCGTGGAGTTGGTTCCGACTCATAGCGACCCTGCACAGGGTTTCCGAGGCTGTTAATCTTTACGGGAGCAGAATACCTCATCTTTCTCCCACGGAGCAGCTGGTAGTTTCGAACTGCTGACCTTGCGGTTCGTAGCCCGATTCGTAACCACTACGCTACCAGAGCTCCTTATTGGGTGGGGAAAAGCACAAAACCAATTTCCCCTTAATATCTTAATAAGCTAGTGCCACTTGGGTAGCCTCAAGACTTCAGAATAAAAGCATCATACAGCGGACCCAAGTAAGGAGGGAGCTTTCCATTAGTCAATCTTAACTGAGGTTCAGTTGTTATCTCAAGTGGGTGAATGAATGAACAGTGAAGTGCATGGTCAGTTTTAAATCGTAAGAATGGAGGTCCTGTCTCATGTGATGCCCGTGGGCCTCCCCCCCTCTCCCGATCCATACCTTCAGAATTGAGAAGAACCGCACACAGCTCAACCTTTCCATGGAAGACAGAAGTTCCTGCATGGAATGGCTGAGTCGCTGACTCCCCAGGTCAGGTAGTGGTCTCCTGGGTCTTCCTTTGGATTGATTCCCCTTACTCACTCGGCTGTGCTCAGCATTAATTCCTCATATAAACTCTGCCCGACGTCAGGAAGGTTCTGCCTCCTCCCCACCCCCACTTTCCCCCTGTTTCTTTGTTTGCCCATTCCTCATTGCTTGGGTGTCAGTGACTCAGAGAGAACTTAGAGCCCACCACTACAATTTCATCTCATTTCAAATTTCTGCATGACATTGTTGATCTGTTTGCTTACTGCCCGTTGCTACCCACTACACATCTGTTCCCCAAGGACAAAGCCCCTGTTTATCTTGATCCTCAATGAAAATGCAGAGATAATGAATGAATGAATTTACCTGTAAACTCTGCACCTAGAAGTAAACATACTACAGATTTCACCCTCCCAACACACAGGCATGCGCACAGGCACACACAAAATGCGTTCATTCTGAACAGGTCAGGGCATGTTCTCTGCCTCCAACGCCCCAGCTCCCAGGGTACAGGCAGCGAAAATCAGGCTTGGTTACATGGTCTCTGGATATAGACCTCTGCTCTGCAGCCCACCACAGTTAAGGGAATGGTTCTCTGGAGGCCATCCCTCCCCCTGACCATCCACCCCCAAGCAGTGCAGGATCCCAGTCCAAGGTCAGGAAAGAGAACTACTGTTTAAGAAAGCCAAAATCAAACCAAAGGTTCACAGAGAAGCTAACGAAAGTGGCAACTTCCCAGGGGCTTTTGTTTTGATTTGAAGTATTTGGGCATCTTGAAAGGGGCAAGCTGGTTTTTAGTGGACCTTGGCTTGGGCATTTAATGAGTCACAGTAACTTCTGAGAAAGGACCCAATGTAACAAGTATTGGGTTCCTGGGAAGAGCAGTAAAAACCTCATCTCCAGCCCTTCAACAAACAAACCTATGCAAGGCCAGTGCCCACCAGAGGAACCAGGAGCTCATTTGGTCTGGGTACTTCCCTCACCCCACACAACAGATAAGAGGCAGTGAACGTATCAGCTGATTCTCTTTCACAGGATGCAGGAAGTTGGGTACCTTGGTGCATAACTGACCGCTATTCGCTGCTCTTATACCTCTGTATGATATGCACGGGACTGAGAACCAAGTTAGTGGTTCGAGCCCACCAGCCACTCGATGGGAGAAAGATGAGGCTTTCTGCTCCCACAAAGATTTACAGCCTTGGAAACCCTATACAGGGTCGCTATGAGTTGGCCTAACACTTAACCAGAGGCCGGGCGTCGCTCCATTTAATCCTCGTCACAGCCTCTTGGACACCCATGAGGGAAAAGGAGGCAGAGGAATGCTAAACCAAATTAGGGGTGCAGCCTGGATTTGAACTGTGCTCGGCCTCCCAGATTCCAGTCATTGAAAGGCATACGCCTGGGAACCCCACCCGAAGCCCACGGGGGGCTGCATGGAACTAAATCGCTGTCAGTGAGAGCGAGCGCTGGGGGGCTGAACAGACAAGGAGATTACCGGCCCCGGAAACGGTCCGTTTAAAATGCTGCCCAGCTACAGAGGGGTGAGAGGAGCCAGATTCAACACGTCACCCAGTCGGTTTCGAACTCCTGCGCGCCCAAAACAACGATGACTCACCGAGGACCGTCTGCGCAAAAACGGGGTGCCATGCACTGGGGGTGGAGGAGTCAGAGAGAGGGTGGGGGGACACGCGTTCTGGGGTCTCAGGGAAAGGGGGAGGTCATCTCGGGCCCCGGGACATCTCGACTTGCGTGACCTATGTTCCCGGGGCCACCGACGCGGAGGGAGGGGGGCCCACGACCCCGGTCCTGAGTCGACTGGAGGGGTCACAAATCGCCTAGTACCCCTATCCCGCCGGCGGGCCGCGCGTATTGACTTGCCTGTCCTGCGTCTCCTACGTGCTGCTGCGATCCGAGTTTGCTGGACTCCCCAGCCCGCCCCCGGTCCGCCCAAACCCGCTTGGCGCTGGGGCTGCAGGTTCGCTGCTTGGAAAAAGCTATGGGGCCGTGCTGCGCGGGCGAAACCTACGATATTCAAAACCTAGGGTTTGGCCAATCCCCGGCAAGTTTGTCTGGGCGACTGCAACACTCTAAGCCAATCAAATAACAGAAAGCTCCATTAAGTTTACGTACTGGCTGTTTCCCTTGCCAATCTGCGGGACTAACAGGCAAGAAAAGGAAACGTTAAAACTTTAAGTATCCTCAGCTTCCGGGAGTGACAGACAACCTGTTGGTTCCGCAGAGGAAGTCGCCCATGGTAGGGGAGGAGCGCGTTTGGGCTTCGCGCGCCGGGAACTACAAGTCCCAGCGTGCACTGCGGAGGGCCGGACGTGAAACCTCAGCTCCTGGACTGCAAAAGCAACCACTCCCCTGCTTTTGTTATAAAATGTAAAACTAATACTTTTACATTTCCATCCCTCACAGTCAGTCCTGATAGCAATTCCTTTCCTCAGCCCTGTCCCAACAGATTGGAAACCACTCAGTAGAGATTCTACCTTCCCCCATACCTTCTGGAACTGGGCTCCCTCATGAAAGCTTGTAAACAAGCCACTTCTTGTCTTTTTAGCCTCCCCCCACTCCTTTTTTGGGTAGCCAGTGTCTAAGTTGCCCATCCCTGTCAACCCTGTGTACCGAGGGGGTGGGAATGATCCTCACTGTAAAGATTTGCTCCCTCTTTTGAGATACTACATCCATAAGTATAGGTCAAGTCCATCAAATTGTAGCGGATTACTTTTTTTAAAAATCCTCTTCTTTCTTCTTCTAGTTGAGTTCTGATCATCTAGCCATTGAAGCCAGGTCAAGTGTGTACTATCTGCACG